TTGAAATTATTTTGTTGTGTGAGCTTTTTACTCTTGTATTACGTTGTATATCTTTGCCCCTGGATTTTGGACTAGTTATGACCCCAGTGACAACAATAAGTGGTTATGGTATGGGTCTTGAGGAGAATATATATTACCTTCCAAGGTATCCGGACCAAGTGAGATTGTCACACAGGTTTCAAGCTGAAGGCTTTCTCCTCAGAAACCACAGGCTCAAAGTGTCTTAGGTTGTGGTTAGTCTCTTTATTGTTGCTATGATGTAATACTTGAGTAATTTATAAAGAAAAGAGGTTTCAAAGGCCGGGCACGGTGGCTCAAGCCTGTAATCCCAGCACTTTGGGAGGCCGAGATGGGTGGATCACGAGGTCAACAGATCGAGACCATCCTGGTCAACATGGTGAAACCCCGTCTCTACTAAAAGTACAAAAAATTAGCTGGGCATGGTGGCGCATGCCTGTAGTCCCAGCTACTTGGGAGGCTGAGGCAGGAGAATTGCCTGAACCCAGGAGGTGGAGGTTGCAGTGAGCCGAGATCACGCCATTGCACTCCAGCCTGGGTAACAAGAGTGAAACTCCGTCTCAAAAAAAAAAAAAGAAAAGAGGTTTCTTTGGCTTAGGATTCTGGTGGCTGGAAAGTCCAAGAGCATGGCCCCAGCATCTGCTCTGCTTTTTTTTTTTTTGCTCTGCTTCTTAAGAGGCTCACATGCTGTGAAAAACATGGTAGAGAGCCAGATGGGGAAGCAGGCTTGTGCAAAAGGGACCAAACACAAACAGCAGCCTTGCTTTATAATGATTAGGTCTTGTGGGAACTAATCCAGTCCTGTGAGAGCTAAAATTCACTTCTGCCTGACAGCATTAATCTATTCATGTGGGATCTGCTCCCATAATCCAAACATCTCTTGTTAGCCCCTCCTCCCAGTGTTGTGATATTGAGGACCAAGCCTCAACAGGAATTTTCATGGGAACAGACCACATCCAAATCATAGCAGGGGTTTAAGATCATGTCTTCCATCTGGGTCCAACCAGATGTCTCCGTTCCAGGTTCTATATTGTCATTCCTCCCAGATTACACTGTACCTTTTAAAAAATTTAGTTTCTTGATGCCTCAGCATTCTAACAGGCTGTGAGCTCCCTGCTCAAGTGACCAGTATGATAAGGCAGGTCCCTGCTACAAGTTCTTCTGTTGGCCCTCAACTGACTGTGACCTAGTAACGTTCAAATGCAACAATGAAATCGCATGGCTTTTGCTTTAGTTCTATACCTCCAGCCCCAATAAAGGCAATTGCCCTTAAGGGAGGCCTCTCTCAGCTCCCTAACTGCTTATGAGAACCTCCTGCTTTGGTCCTCCTCCAGCACGGCCCACTGAAGGCATGGCATGTCTCCCTCTCTAGAATCTATGAGTGTCATAAATTCTTTAATTTCTTGAGCCTCTCCAAGTGTAACTGCAGGAGTGTGTTGGGATGCTGAAAGATCCTATAAGAGAGACTTACTACCCCATTTACAACACAGTTGGTGAAAAGGGTGAGATCATTGTGAACTGGGGTGGAAAGTCTCCTGTAAGTGCCCTTTGACTTTTCGTGGCTTGCTGATTGACTTTGCCATTTGGGAAGGCTGCCTGTCTTGTTGGAGTTTATGTGTATTGCTATGCTATGCTTTGTGTTGCCCCTTCTGAGTGTTGGCCAAGAGTCTTTGTCATAAAGTTTGGATCTTGTGCTAGTCCCAATAATGCACCCCAGGATACTGCTTACCAGCCATGATCCCAGGAAGAGGGGTAATTATCCTCTTCTCCAGGATCTGGGGTCATTTGTTCGTGCGAAGTTGGCACTCCTTAGTGCACATACAAGTGACTGATTTGAAGAAGGGACCCTGGCAATAGAATTGGGCTCCTCTTTTGTATATTTGCACCAACTACACCTTGTGAGGTGCCTCCTATGTTGCGATGCTATTCCAGTTTGGTGCTGATGCTCCCTGCCCCTGCCAACTCCATGGAGAATGGTAGCTCAATGTTTTTTAAAAAAATGAATGGAAGGAGTACTTGATCCCTCCCTCGCTAAGATACTTGAGCATGTTTCTCAACTTATTTGAGGTTACAAATCTTGGGACTGAGCATGGTGGCTAATGTCTGTAATCCCAGTACTTTGGGAGATTGAAGTGGGAGGATCACTCGAGGCCAGGAGTTTGAGATCAGTATGGCCAACATGGTGAAACTCTGTCACTGCTAAAAATACAAAAATTAGCTGGGTGTGGTAGTGTGCGCCTGTCATTCCCAGCTACTAGGGAGGCACAAGAATCACTTGAACCTGGCTGTGGAGGAAGCAGTGAGCTGAGATTGCATCATTGTACTTCAGCCTGGGTGACAGAGCAAGACTGTTTCAACAACAACACAAAAATATTTTTGGTTAATGTTTCAGTACTTTTTTTTCCATAGTCTTGCTCTGTCACCCAGGCTGGAGTGCAGTGGCATGATCTTGGCTCACTGCAACCTCCACATCCTGGGTTCAAGTGATACTCCTGCCTCAGGCTCCCAAGTAGTTGGGACCACAGGTGCCCACCACCATGCCCAGGTAATTTTTTGTATTTTTGTAGAAACAGGGTTTGACAAGGTTGGCCAGGATGGTCTCAATCGCCTTACCTCATGATCTGCCTGCCTCAGACTCTGTGCTGGGATTACAGGCGTGAGTTGCTGTGCCCAGTCTGATCATATGATTTTTATACTTTATTCTATTAATGTGGTGTTAATCACGTTGATTGATTTGCATATGTTGAACCATCCATGCATTCCAGGGATAAATCCCATTTGATTATTATGAATGATACCTTTAATGTACCTTTTTTTTTTTTTTTTTTTGAGATGGAGTCTTCTCTGTTGCACAGACTGGAATGCAGTGGAATTTCAGTTCACTGCAACTCTGCCTCCCAGGTTCAAGCATTTCTCCTGTCTCAGCCTCCCGAGGAGCTGGGACTACAGGCACTCGCCACCATGCCTGGGTAATTTTTGTGTTTTTAGTAAAGATGAGGTTTCACATGTTGGCCAGGCTGGTCTTGAACTCCTGACTTTGTTATCCCCCTGCCTCGGCTTCCCAAAGTGCTGGGATTACAGGTACGAGCCACTGTACCCAGCCTGATGTACTGTTGAATTCAGTTTGCTAATATTTTGTTGAGGATTTTTGCATCTGTGTACATTAGGAATATTGACCTATACGTTTCTTTCTTTGTAGCATCCTTCAGTTTTTTGGAATAATTTCAGAAGGATTGGTTTAGATATTCTTTTTTTTTTTTTTTTTTTTGGGACGGAGTTTCGCTCTTGTTACCCAGGCTGGAGTGCAATGGCACGATCTCTGCTCACGGCAACGTCCGCCTCCTGGGTTCAGGCAATTCTCCTGCCTCAGCCTCCCGAGTAGCTGGGATTACAGGCGTGCGCCACCATGCCCAGCTAATTTTTTGTATTTTTAGTAGAGACTGGGTTTCACCATGTTGACCAGGATGGTCTCGATCTCTCGACCTCGTGATCCACCCACCTTGGCCTCCCAAAGTGCTGGGATTACGGGCATGAGCCATCGCTCCCGGCCTTAGATATTCTTTTTTTTTTTTTTTTTGAGACAGAGTCTTGCTTTGTTGCCAGGCTCCAGGATGGAGTGCAGTAGCACAATCTCTGCTCACTGCAACCTCCGCCTCCTGGGTTCAAGCAATTCTCCTGCCTCAGCCTCTTGAGTAGCTGAGACCACAGGCACGTGCGACCACGCCCAGCTAATTTTTGTATTTTTTAGTAGAGACGGGGATTCACCATGGTCTTGATCTCTTGACCTTGTGATCTGCTCACCTCGGCCTCTCAAAGTGCTGGGATTACAGTTGTGAGCCACCACGCCCGGCCTGGTTTAGGTATTCTTATATGTCTTACATAATTCACCCATGAAGCAGTCAAGTCCTCAGTGTTTGTTTTACGGGTGACTTTAGCTAGTGATTTGGTCTCCTTCTTCATTATTCATCTGTTCAGATTTTCTCCTTTTTAGGATTTTGTGTTGGTAGGTTATGTGTGTCTAGAAATTTGTACATGTCTGCTAGGTTATCCAGTTTGTTAGGATGTAATTGTTCCAGGTAGTGTTTTATGATCTTTTATATTTCTGTAGTTATCAGTTGTAATGTTTCCTCTCTCACATCTGATTTGGAGTGTTCTTTTTTCTTTATTTTATTTTATTTTATTTTTACAGGGTCTTGCTCTTGCCTGTACTGGAGTGCAGTGCTGCAATCATGTCTCACTGTAGCCTTGACCTCCTGGGCTGAAGTGATCCTCTCACCTCAGTCTCCTGAATAGCTGGGACTACAAGTTTGTACTACCATGCCTGGCTACTTTTTTTCTTTTTTTGAGGCAAGCACTGGCTATATTGCCCAGGTGGAGTGCACTGACATGATCTTGGCTCACTGCAGCCTCTGTCTCCTGGGCTCAAGCTATCCTACCTCAGCCTCCTGAATAGCTGGGACTACTGGTGTGCACCACCATGCCCAGCTAATTTTGTATTTTTTCGTAGAGATGGGGTTTTACTGTGTTGCCTAGGCTGGTCTTGAACTCCTGAACTCAAGCAGTCTGCCCACCTTGGCCTCCCAAAGTGCTGAGATTACAGGCTTGAGCCACCATGCCCAGCCCCAGCTATTTTTTAAAATATTTTTTTTACAGATAACAATCTTGCTGTGTTGCTCAGGCTGGCCTTGAACTCCTGGACTCAGGTGATCCTTCTATGTCAGCCTCCCAAAGTACTGTGATTACAGGTGTGAGCCACTGTGCCCAGCTTCTTTTTTTTTTTTTTCCCCCACCTCTTGGTCTATCTAAAGGTTTGTTTATCTTTTCAGAAAACTTTTTAGTTTCCTTTTTTATTATTTTTCTTATTTCATTTATTTCGGTTCTGGTTTTTATGATTTCCTCACTTTGGGCTTTGTTTGTTGTTCTTCTAAGTCCTCAAGGTGCAGTGTTAGGATGTTTACTTGTGATTTTCTTTCTTCATATAGGCATTTATTGTCATTAACTGCCCTCTGAAATCCTTGCTTGTTCAGGTATGTGCTACTTCATTTCCACTTATTTATGCATTTTTAAAGTTTCTTCCTGTTACTGATTTCTATTTTCATACAGCTGTTGTCAGAAAGATATTTGATATGACTTTAATCTTCTTAGGTTTGTTAAGACTTGCTTCGTCGCTGTTGACATGGCCTCACGTATGATCTACCTCGGATCACATTCTGTGTTCACTTGAGAAAAATGTGTATTTTGCTGCTGTTGGATGGAATGTTCTATGTATGTCTGTTAGATTCTTTTGGTCTAAAGTGTAGTTCTAGTCTAATGTTTCTTTATTGGTTTCTGTCTGAATGATGTGTCCATTGTTAAAAGTAGGGTATTCAAGTCCCCCATTCTTTTATTGCAGTCTATCTCTGCCTTAGACTGATTATTAATTTGCTTTATATATTTATGTGCTCTGATGTTCTTGACATATGTATTCAGCCTTTGGAATCTGGGGGGGAATTTGTTTCAGGGTGACCACTTGCCCACCTGTGGATACCAAAATATAGGCATGTTCAAGTATCTTTTTTTTTGAGACGGAGTTTCGCTCTTGTTACCCAGGCTGGAGTGCAATGGCATGATCTCGGCTCACCACAACCTCTGCCTCCTGGGTTCAGGCAATTCTCCTGCCTCAGCCTCCTACGTAGCTGGGATTACAGGCACACACCACCATGCCCAGCTAATTTTTTGTATTTTTAGTAGAGACGGGGTTTAACCATGTTGACCAGGATGTCTCGATCTCTTGACTTGGTGATCCACCCGCCTTGGCCTCCCAAAGTGCTGGGATTACAGGTGTGAGCCACTGCGCCCGGCCCTAATTTATGTATTACTTAAGGGTGAAGTGAGTCCCTTGTAAGCAACATATCATTTGTGTGTTTGTTTTTTCTTTTCTTTTTTTTTGAGATGGTGTCTGGCTCTGTTGCCAGGCTGGAGTGCAGTGGCACGATCTTGGCTCACTGCAACCTCTGTCTCCCAGGTTCAAATGATTCTCTTGCTTCAGCCTCCTGAGTAGCTGGGATTACAGGCACGCACCACAACGCCCAGCTAATTTTTGTATTTTTAGTAGAGATGGAGTTTCACTATGTTGGCCAGGATGGTCTCAATCTCTTTACCTCGTGATCTGCCTGCCTTGGTCTCCCAAAGTGCTGGGATTACAGGTGTGAGCCACTGCATCCAGCAAAGTATAGTTATTTTATGTGATCAGTTATTATCAACTTAAAATATCCTGCTATAAGGATAGGCCTTTGCTTTTGTTTTTTTTTGAAAATCTTCATCTCTTTTTCATTTCTGAAGGACAGCTTTGCTGGTTATGGTATTCTTCGTGTGAATTTTATTTTTTTTTCCTAACAGCAGTTTATATATGTCATTCCATTCTCTCCTGGCCTGTAAGGTCTTTGGTGACAGGTCTGCTCATAACCTTATTGGAACTCCCTCATTTGATTTGCATCTTTTTTTATGCTCCTTCCAAGATCCTCACTTTGCTTTTCATTTTTGACTGTTGGATTATATTACGTCTTAGGGTAGCCTTGTTTGGATTGAATGTGATTGGAGATGTTTGCCCTTCCTGAGTTTGGATATTTACATATTTTCCTGAGTGTGGAAACATTGCTGCTGTTTCTTTATGTGTTCTCTTTGTTTCTTCCTTGTTTTCTTGCACTCCTGTAACTCAAAAATTTGCTCTTTTGATGATGTCCCATGAATCCTGTAATTTTTCTTCATTTTTGTTTTTTCTCCTTTGCATATTTCTAAATAGTCTGTTTTCAAGTTTCAAAGAGTTTTTCTTTTCCTTCTCTACTGTTGATGATTTCAATTGCATTTTTCATTTATTTTGTAAGAACTGTAAAGGAAGGAAGGAATAAAAATACAAGCAGAAGTTTTAGGAAAAAGATAACTCTTGATAAAATAATAAATAAAAGGTGATTTTCCGAGAATACCCATCAAATAGTCGATATAGGGCGGGGTCTGATTTGCCACTACTGTTCTGCATGTTTTGTGCCCTCTGGGAGGAGCAATGGGTAGAGTTTAGAATACTGACTTCAGTGTTTCTACTTAGAACCCTGCTGAGACAACCAGAGATGGAAATGAGTTTTGACTTGTTTGTAAAACTAAAACATTCTGGGTCTAATTCTTTTTTTTTTTTTTTGAGACGTAGTTTTGCTCTTGTTACCCAGGCTGGAGTGCAATGGCGTGATCTTGGCTCACCGCAACCTCTGCCTCCTGGGTTCAGGCAATTCTCCTGCCTCAGCCTCCTGAGTAGCTGGAATTACAGGCATGTGCCACCATGCCCAGGTAATTTTTTGTATTTTTAGTAGAGACGGGTTTCACCATGTTGACCAGGATGGTCTTGATCTCTTGACCTCGTGATCCACCCGCCTTGGCCTCCCAAAGTGTTGGGATTACAGGCTTGAGCCACTGCACCCGGCCTCTAATTCTTTATAGTCAAAAATAGAATAGCACATTTTAAGTAAGCCAGGTATCAATTCCCAGCGTCCTTTATATGGTGGTCATTATGAGGGAGTAACAAAAACCACAGAGGATCAGACTTAGGGACAAACTTTACTGCATTCAAGACTTGGTTCACCACTTCCTAAGTAGATAATATTAGAAGAGTCATTTGTGTTTTCTTTGTTTTTTTTTTTGGAGACGGAGTTTCGCTGTTGTTACCCAGGCTGGAGTGCAATGGCACAATCTTGGCTCACCGCAACCTCCGCCTCCTGGGTTCAAGCAATTCTCCTGCCTCAGCCTCCCGAGTAGCTGGGACTACAGACGCACACCACCATGCCCGGCTGATTTTTGTATTTTTAGTAGAGATGGGGTTTCACCTTGTTGACCAGGATGGTCTCGATCTCTTGACCTCGTGATCTACCCACCTCGGCCTCCCAAAGTGCTGGGATTAGAGGCGTGAGCCACTGCGCCCGGCCATGTGTTTTCTAAATTTAGGTTTTTTCAGCACTAAATAGGGCTATTGTTCAGATAAATAAAGGAGCACATATATGTGTATGTGTGTGTATGCAAATATATATGTATATATATATGTAATGTCTGACACATAACAGTCCTTAGTAAATAGCAGTTGGTGTTATTAATACTCATTTTATATAGAACATATATCATTTCTAGTGGATTTCACACATATCACCAACAGTAAAGATTTAATATATGCTATTTGATAAATGATAAGTAATGCTTGTTGATTAATCATTGATGTCTACATGAGTCTTGTTACTCTATATAAAGAGGAATAGATTGCCAGTTATCCACTTATATTTACAAGCCACTCTGACACGTCCTTGGAATCACAAAAAAGTGTGTCTAGACGTATCTCACTGTCACCCTCACAGGATAGAAGCCATGTATTTGTCCTATGGTAAGTTTTTCTGAAAATCTGCTTTAGGTACCTATATTACTGTGTTCTCATGGCTATGCAGAAATATGTAAGACTGGATCATTTATAAAGAAAAGAGGTCGACTCACAGTTCTGCCTGGCTAGGGAGGCCTCAGGAAACTTACAATCATGGCAGAAGGCACCTTTTCACAGGGTGGCAAGAGAAATAATGTGTGCAAGCAGGGGAAATGCCAGATGCTTATAAAACCATCAAATCTTGTGAGACTCACTCATTATCACGAAAACAGCATGGGGGAAACTGCCCCCATGATCCAATTACATCCTCCTGGTTCTGCCCTTGACACGTGGGGATTATTACAATTCAAGATGAGATTTGGGTGGGGACACAGCCATACCGTATCAGTACCCTATGCACAATATAGAGTCCAGTGCTCTAGGCCGTAGTATTCATACTAGTAGTTCCTTTCTGAAGTGCTGAAGTGGGCCAGAGAGGGCTGTTGTGTAAGTTAGCTCCCTTATATGTGTGCTTTGGGGGAAGAGGTGCTACATAATCTCATTTGTGAGTTATATTACTATGGGCACAAAAAGACTCACATTTTTAGGTCTTAAGTTTCTTTACCTGTACAATAAGGATACGGTACTTTTATTTACAATAGCCTGGCTGACAGTTCCTTTTTCTGGCTCTAGGTGAGACAGAACTGCAATGGCATTTTATGGATGTAGTGTGTATTTGTGTGAGTTTATATGAATTGTATGAGAATTTCGAACCAAGATAGAATGACTTCCATACATGCGAATGTTGGAACTGTGATTGTGTCAAGGTTTTCGTGCCTTCTTTCTTTTCCAGGACTTCTTTCTAGGATCTCTATCTTCATGAAGAAAAGTCAGAGGCAGAAAGGAAGATGGCTTATTGCCTGACAGATTGCTATCAGGTAAGCAGAAAGTGTATACTTTCACACAATTACATGCTGGAATCACTGGTAAACACATTGCCTTCTAGGCAGATGTTTCTCCAGAGCTTCTTTAAGTAAATAAAGACTCACTCAAGCACTGAGTCACTAGTTGAATTTCCCCAGGGAGTGGAGGTTCTCATACTGGTGAAGGATTACCTTGAAAAACGTTTCAGTATTTCGGTAAGCATTAATTAATCTTGTTCCTTATGGTGCTAGATGTATGTTTCTCATTTTGCTGAGTGGTCTGGCAGATGAAAAGGAAGATGAAAGTATCCTTTACTCAAAGACTAATCTTTGCCAGGCACAGTGGCTCACACCTGTAATCTTAGCACCTTAGCACCTTGGAAGGCTGAGAGGTGGCAGTACTGCTGGGGCTTAGGAATTTGAGACCACCCTGGGCAACATAGTGAGACACCGTCTCTAAAAAAAAAAAAAAAAATGCGTAATGGTGCATGGCTGTAGTCCCAGCTACTCGGGAGGCTGAGGCAGGACAATCACTTGAACCTGGGAGGTGGAGGTTGCGGTGAGCCGAGATTGCGCCATTGCCCTCCAGCCTGGGTGACAGAGCAAGACCCTGCTTCAAGAAAAAAGACTTAATTATTTATCACTGTTTGTTTATTTATTTTTTGAGATGGAGTTTAGCTCTTGTTGCCCAGGCTGGAGTGCAATGGCATGATTTTGGGTCACTGCAACCTCCGCCTCCCGGGTTCAAGTGATTCTCCTGCCTTAGCCTTCCAAGAAGGTGGGATTACAGGTATACACCACCACACCTGGCTAATTTTGTATTTTTAGTAGAGATGGGGTTTCTCCATGTTGGACAGGCTGGTCTTGAACTCCCAACCTTAGGTGATCTGCCTGCCTCAGCCACCCAAAGTGCTTGGATTACAGGTGTGAGCCACTGTGCCCGGACGTTTGTCACCATTTATGAAGTATATGATGCAGTGTACTCCGGAGTATTTTTTTTTTTTGAGATGGAGTCTTGCTCTGTCACCAGACTGGAATGCAGTGGCACAATCTTGGCTCACTGCAACCTCCGCCTCCCGGGTTCAAGTGATTCCCCTGACTCAGCCTCCCGAGTAGATGGGACTACAGGTGTGCATCACCACGCCCGGCTAGTTTTTTTTGTATTTAGTTGAGATGGGGTTTCACCATGTTGGCAATGATGGTCTCAATCCCCTGACCTCGTGCTATGCCTGCCTTGGCCTCCCAAAGTTCTCGGATTATAGGCATGAGCCATCACGCCCAGCCTGGGGTAATTTTCAATAGAGGGAAATACGGTGAGAAAGTGCACACAATCTGCTTGTGATGAGAAGTTCATATTTGAGATGTACCATTGAAGCCATACAGTTGGAATTGATAAGTAGTGAATGAGCAAGGATAGAGAGAGGAGTTGTTGGGATTTACCTGGGATTGTTGAGCCTTGGGTAGATGATGTGAGACCTCACAACTCTTTATAGGCATTGGGGTCTGTTATGATTCTTCAGTGAACATTGGTTGATGTGTTACTTGGCATAAGTCAGCATGTGTGTAATGGTTTAGGACTCAGTGACCTTTGAGGATGTAAGTGTGGACTTCACTCAGGAGGAGTGGACTTTATTGGACCCACTTCAGAGAAACTTTTACAGAGATGTGATGCTGGAGAATTATGAGAACCTGGCCAAAGTTGGTAAGACTGCCATCATTTTATGCAGCCTCTTATGGAAGAGATATACATTGTGTACTTACTGTGTTACAGAATTCTTTCTGTCAACACTGAATATAACAGACACTGTCCCTGCCCTATGGGTCTTAATTACTCTGATGGTTTTCAAAATGTGGTCCAGTTTCAATTGTATCACTGGTACTCCCTCAGAAATGTACAGTCTTAATCTCTGCCTTTGACCTACTGAATCAGAACCTGTCCACTTGGATTGTCATCTGTGTTTTAACTGTCCTTCCACATATATGTGATGCACTGTAATATTAAGAATCACTGGTGTAGTTTTATTCTCCAAGTATACAAGGGTCTGTTTTTTTTTTTTTTTAAGATGGGGTTTCACCACGATGGCCAGGCTGGCCTTGAACTCCTGACCTCAGGTGATCCACCCACCTCGGCCTCCCAAAGTGCTAGGAATATAGGCCTGAGCCACCACACCCAGCATAAGGGTCTGTTTGTTTCACTTTATCTTTTTTTCTTCATTCAGGAGTTTGACAACATACCTTATTTCTGTGACTACAAGGTTATTGCTTTGTAAATGTGTACATAAACATGAATTTGCTTTTCAGAGGTCAGAGATAGCTGATTTTTGGGTGCACAGAAGAGGTATTTTCAGTTTTAGTTTATTTGAAATAATTTCACTGCTTTCTCTAGAACTGTAGTTCTTGGTTAATAGAAAGGTTTATCATCTCTTGCATGAGCCTCTTTCATTCATTCATTTATTTTTTTGAGATGGAGTTTTGCTCTTGTTGCCCAGGCTGGAGTGCAGTGGTATGATCTCGGCTCACTGCAACCTCCACCTCCCGGGTTCAAGTGATTCTCCTACATCAGCCTCCCAAGTAGATTACAGGCACATGCCACCACACCTGGATAATTTTTATATTTTTAGTAGAGATGAGGATTCACCATGTTAGTCAGGCTGGTCTCAAACTCCTGACCTGATCCCTCGCTCTGACCTCCCAAAGTGTTGGGAGTATAGGCGTGAGCCCCCTTGCCTGGCCTGAGCCTCTTCCATTAATGTATCATTATTCATGTAAAGGATTTCAGCTCCTTAAGCCCAGTCTGATCTCTTGGTTGGAAGAAGAAGAATTGAGGACATTGCAGCAAGGACTTCTCCAAGGTTAGTATTTATGAAGAAGCACCTTGGTCAGTAAGAAGTTCAGTATGCTTGGAAGCTGAGTTAGTCTGTTCTTGTGTTGCAAGAAAGAAATACCTGAGATGGGATAATTTATAAAGAAAATAGGTTTATTTTGGCTCACAGTTCTGCAGGCTCTACAGAAGGCATGGTGCTGACATCTGCTTCAGGTGAGAGCCTCAGAAGCCTTAGAATCATGGCAGAGGCAAAGGGGGAGCAGGCAAATTACATGATGAGAAAGGGAGTAAAAGAGAAGTTGGGGGTGGTGTCACAGTCTTTTAAACTAGTGGTCCCCAACCTTTTTGGCATCAGGGACCAGTTTCGTGGAAGATAACTTTTTCACAGAAAATTCCTGGGTGGCAGGGGCATGGTTTCAGGATGATTCAGTCACCTTACATTTTTGTGGACTTTATTTCTACTATTATTGCGTTGTAATATATAATGAAGTAATTATACAACTCACCATAAGGTAGAATCAGTGGGAACCCTGAGCTTGATTTCCTGTAACTGGATGGTCCCATTTGGGGATCTGGGGGTGAGGGAGACAGTGATATCATCAGGCATTAGATTCTCATGAGGAGTGTGCAAGCTAAATCCCTCGCATGCACAGTTCATGATAGTTTGCTCTTCTGTGAGAATCTAATGCTGCTGCTGATCTGACAAGAGGCAGAGCACAGGAGGCAATGCAGGATGGGGAGTGGCTATAAATGTAGGTAAGGCTTCACTTGCTCTCCTGCCGCTCACCTCCTGTGATGCAGCCCAGCTCTGGCCCATGGCCTCAGAGTTGGAGACTCCTATTTTAAACTACCAGGTCTCACATGAACTCAGAACAAGAACTCACTCATTACTCCGAGGATGTCAGTAAGCCATTCATGAAGGATCTGCCCCCATGATCCAAATACCTCCTACCAGGCCCCACCCCAAATATTTGGTGTTACATTTCCATATGAGATTCGGAGGGAACTAACATCTAAACCATCAGAAACATAATGAGGACATTTTAAGATGTACCTTGTCTCACAAGGTTGAGGCCATTTAACTCAGAAGTCATAGAAAATATTCCATTTCTGATACTCTGTAAATTTCCATCTACTCCAATTTTATATTTTGTTTCAAGTTCTTTGCTTTGAAGTATGTTCTTGGTCCAGATTTTTCCTACTTTTCTGATAACATTATTTCTGTTTAATGTTAGTTTTGAACTAGTCAATTTGTAGCAACTTAGCCAAAATTTTGACTCTTTATTCTCATCATTGCCAAATTTTTGACATAGTCTAAATGTTCAAATTTGGCTTTCTTTTTTCTTATGTTTATTTTGAAAACAAATGTGAATGAGGCCTATCATTTTTAACTCTTTCATTTTACCTTTTTTCTTTCCTTCTTTTTTTTTTTTTACAAACCTCAATTTATGTTTTTGTTTAATTTCAGAATGTGCAATAAAACTTCACACCAATGTTTCAGCAGTGCAGCAGAATTTTTGTAAAATACAAACTTCTAATGGGATACAAACGGTAATGTTAAGAAAGGGTATTTCTTATTTTTCACATTCAGAGAATATTGGGACTTCCAATGAAGAAAATAAGCACAAAAGACAATTGAGAGAAATAGCATTCACTCAAGAGGGATCGATGTCAGACTGGGTGCAGTGCTCACGCCTGTTATCCCAGCACTTTGTGAGGCCAAGGCAGGTGGATCAGTTGAGGTCGGGAGTTCAAGATCAGCCTGATCAACATGGAGAAACCCTGTCTCTACTAAAACTACAAAATTAGCCAGGTGTGGTGGCACGTGCCTGCAATCGCAGCTATTCGGGAGGCTGAGGCAGGAGAAGCACTTGAACCTGGGAGGTGGAGGTTGCGGTGAGCCAAGATCGCACCATTGCACTCCAGCCTGGGCAACAAGAGTGAAACTCCGTCTCAAAAAAAAAAAAAAAAAAAGAAGAAGAAAAAAGAGGGAGCAATGTCTTTGGAGAGATACTCTGATAATGATGAATTTGGGGAGATCCAAAAACTTAGTGTGAAACTGTCCTTCTAAAAAAAAAATGGAGTAATGATATTAGTGAGGACACATTTGCTTGTAGGTAGACCTCTCTCTATTGTTCCTTAAAGCAAATACAGACTCTAGTCGAAAGTCATACCTCTCACATTGGTGAGGCATTACCCTGAAAATTATCTGAGTATTTTTGTAGTTATGAATTATTCATTTTCCCAGTGCCAACTGCATATATTTTTTCCTGGGTGCCAGGACAGATGGTACGGGGTGAAAGTGTTCTTTTTTTAAGGAATTTATTCATATCATCATTTATCAAGTGTTTCTTGTGTGCGCTCTGGTGTGTACTACAGAAGAGAGGAAAGGAGAAGAGCTCCCAGTCTAGTTGTGGTTGATAAGTTCACGTGTAAGAGGTGCTGTTACAGCCATGTTATTGGAGGGAATTGGCAGTGAGTGAATGTGGATAGAGGAGTTCTTAGAACCATCGAACTGTGGGGTGTAGATAGTGGGAGCCCTCAGTATCCTGTATAGGCATTGGGTCCCCTTGCCTCATTTTTCAGCCAACATTGGTGGACATGTTACTTGGCTCAAACCAGCATGTGTCTTATGGTTTAGGACCTGATAATCTTTGACAGTGTAGCTGTGGAGTTCACCCAGGAAGAGTGGACTTTACTGGACCCAACAGAGAGAAACCTGTACCGTGATGTGATGCTGGAGAACTACAAGAACCTGTTCTCAGTAGGTAAGTGTGGCATCATCCCTTGTAGCTTCCTCTGGAACAAGATACAAATTATGTACTTACTGTGTTCTAGGATTAGTGATGTCAAATCTGAATACAGTGGGATGTATACACATTGTAAAAATTTTTCATGAATAAAATAGGAAATAACCTGCAGTTCTTATACTAATGGGTTTTAATCTTGTATGTCTGTTTGCATCAGTAGCATCACCGCCACTCTCTTACAATTGTGCACATTCTCAGAGTCCACATTTGCTGTACTAAATCAAAAAGTCTGCTGTGGTGCCTTGTCTTCAGACGAGTAATTAATTCACTTTAAAGTTGAGAACTACTGGTATGGGAGTTTTCCCAAGAGAATCAAGATCTCTCTTTGAGCTTCCATTTTCTACTTTAATAAAGGTTTTAGTGGTTTCTAAAATTTGAATTGAACATTTCCTGTTTAGAAAGAAAAGGCCCAGCTCACTGCCAGTGCTCATTTCTTGGGGCAAACAGGAAATGGGTTAAGCTTGAACGGGAATTTCAGAAGTCAGAGATAACCAGTGTCTTCAGAGAACAGAGAGAAGGGATGTATGCAGTTTAGGTACTTTTCATTGCCTTAATTAGATATGTAGTCCCTGTTTCATGGAAAAGATTGCCATTTCTTGCATGAGCCTCTTCCATTGGTGTGTCTTTCCCTGTGTACAGGTTACCAGCTTTTCAAACCCAGTCTGATCTCTTGGATGGAGGAAGAGGAAGAGTTGAGCACATTGCCAAGAGTTCTCCAAGGTGAGTGTTTGTGAAGAACAACCCTGGTCCATGAGAAGTTCTCAGTATGTTTGGAAGCATAATGAAGTTTTATAAGATGCCCTTTGAATCAGAAGACTGAGTCCACTGGATTTGGATGTTTTGGGGTTTCTTAAGTTTTAATTTTCTGTTACTTTGCATCTATCCAGACTTCCCTATTATATAATAAATGACCTTACTTCTTTAAGTTTATGGTTTTATTATATGCTTTTGTTCCAATTTTTCCTACTTTTTTCTCTGATATTACTATTTCTGTTCATCATTATGTTTAATTTTCATAGAAAAAGTTGTTTTAAAAATTACTAAAACTTGACCCCATAGGATAGCCAAACTTTAGTTATACGTAAATTGCTGAAATCTGTCTGCTTTTTATTTAACCCACCATTTTGTGTGTAAACTCTCATATATATTTTTCTCTTTTACTTCAGAATGGAAAATGTGCCTGAAAACCAATGGGCCAGCCCTTTGGCAAGATAATTTTTGTTTAAAAACATTAAATGGGATTCAGTTGGTAAGATTAACAAAATAACTCTCTTATTTGTCACATTCAGAGAAGACTGACATTGCATTGTAGAAATCAGCAGAGATGGCTGGGTGGGGTGGCTCACGCCTGTAATTCCAGCACTTTGGGAGGCTGACGTGGGTGGATTACAAGGTCAGGAGTTCGAGACCAGCTTGGCCAGTATGGTGAAACCTCGTCTCTAGTAAAAATACAAAAATTAGCCAGGCGCAGTGGGGCATGCCTGTAGTCCCAACTACTCAGAAGAATTGCTTGAACTTGGGAGGTGGAGGTTTCAGTGAGCTGAGACGGCGCCACTGCACTCCAGCCTGGGTGACAGAGTGAGACTCTATCTTAAAAAAAAAAAAAAAAAAAAAAGGCAGAAATGATAGATATTTGAGAGAAGTGGTACTCACCCAACAGGGAAAAACATCTGGAGAGATATCCCATATCTAGTGTGAAGCTTGGTACTTAAGACTTCCGATGAATGTTCATTCCAAGATGTATAATTAGACCTATGAGGTTTTTTTTTTTTTCTTTCGAGATGGGGGTCTTGCTCTGTCCCCCAGGCTGGAGTGTAGTGGTGCAATCTCAGCTCACTGCAACCTCTGCCTCCTGGGTTCAAGAGATTCTTCCGCCTCAGCCTCCAGAGTAGCTGGGACCACAGGCGCGTGCCACCACACCCAACTAATTTTTGTATTTTTTAGTAGACACAGGGTTTCACCATGGCCAGGATGGTCTCAATCTCTTGACCTCGTGATCCGCCCGCCTCGGCCTCCCAAAGTGCTGGGATTATTGGCATGAGCCATCGCGCCTGGCCCGACATTTGAGTTTGTAAAATAACTTCATGAAAAGCTATAAGAATCTTTCCAAGATTAGAGCAGATGGCACAGGATTCTTACCGTAGGATTCCATTGTTCAAGTTGAAGGAAATCGAAAGGGTAGGAACTATATGCATGTTATAACTGGCAAAAATAATGATCATAATGTTTTTTTGAGACAGAGTCTTGCTCTGTTGCCAGGCACCAGGCTGGAGTGCAGTGGCGCAATCTCTGCCTCCTGGGTTCAAGCAGTTCTGCCTCAGCCTCCTGAGTAGCTGGGGCTACAGGTATGCGCCACCATGCCCAGCTAATTTTTGTATTTTTTAGTAGAGACAGGATTTCACCATGTTGGCCAGGATGGTCTGGATCTCTTGACCTCATGATCCACCCACCTTGGCCTCCCAAAGTGCTGGGATTACAGGCATGAGCCACTGTGCCCAGCCCATAATGTTTCTTAGATGAGTGATATCTACTAATAAGTTTGCTAAAATGCTTCCTTCATTATTCATTCCTGTATTAACAGGCAAGAAACCAAAATAGGGAGGAACTCTATGACTGTAAGCAATGTGGAGAAATCTTCTGTAAACATTCATGCCTTAAGACAAACATGAGTACTCAAGATAGAGAAGACACGTCTGAATGTATTCAGTATGCAAAAGACCTCCTTTCTGTATACAATGAAGCCTCTACCATAAGGAAAGTTTCTGTGTTCAGTAAGCGTGGAAAATCTTTCAGCCTGATTTTAAATGTTCAAGTCCAAAGAAAGTGCACACAAGATAAATCCTTTGAATGCATTGACTATGGGAAAGTCTTTGTTCATCAGTCACACCTTGAAGCACACAGGAAAACTCAGAGTGAAGAAAAACTCTATGAATGGAAGCAATGTGAGGAAGCATTTACTCATTCCCCAAGCCATGCTGTAAATGTTGAAACACACGGTATTAAAAACCCCTATGAATGTAAGCAATGTGGAAAATATTTTAGATGCCCTACCCACCTTAATAATCACATGCAAACCCACTTTGGGATAAAACCTTATAAATGTAAGCACTGTGGGAAAACCTTCACTGTGCGGTCAGGCTTTCTTGAACATGTACGAACTCACACTGGAGAGAAGCCCTATGGGTGTAAGGAATGTGGTAAAGCCTTTCGTGCATCTGCAGGCCTTATTGAACATATAAGATGTCACACTGGAAAGAAAACTGTAAGATGTCACACTGGAGAGAAAACCCTTAAATGTGACTATTGTGGGAAAGCCTTTATTTCTTACCCATCTCTTTTTGGACATTTGAGAACTCATAATGGAGCAAAGCCATATGAACATAAGAAATGTGTGAAGGCCTTTGGTACATCCTCAGGCATTATTGAAGATATAAGATGTAACACAGGACAGAAACTCTTTGATTGTGACCAGTGTGGGAAAGTCTTTGTTTCTTTCTCATCTCTTTTTGCTCATTTGAGAACTCACACTGGAGAGAAGCCCTTTAAGTGTTACAAATGTGGGAAACCATTTATCTTTTCTGCCTGTCTTCATATTCACATGCAAACTCACACAGAAGAGCGACCCTATCAATGTAAGGAATGTGGGAAAACTTTCACTAAGTGCTCATATCTTACCAAACATTTACGAAGGCACACTGAAGAGAAACCCTATGAATGTATGAAATGTGGGAAGGCCTTCACTGAGCGCTCATACCTGACTAGACATTTACGAAGACACAGTGGGAAGAAGCCCTATGGATGTAAGAAATGTGGAAAAGCCTTCACAGAACGCTCAGACCTTAATAAACATTTACGAACACACACTGGAGACAGGCCCTATGAACATAAGGAGTGTGGGAAAGCCTTTGTTGCCTCCTCAAGTCTAACTTATTTAAGAACTCACACTGGATATAAACCCTATAAATGTAATACATGTGAAAAAGCTTACAGTAGGTCTTGTGTACTAACTCAACACTTAAAAACTCATGCTGTAGAGAAGACTTCTGAATGTAACACTTGTGGAAAATCCTTTCGAAATTCCTTGTGCTTTAATGATTGCTTACAAACTCACACTGAAACAAAACCGTATAAATGTAAGGACTGCGGGAAAACCTTCACTTTTCATTCAGAACTTACTAATCATGTGCAAATTCACACTGGAGAGAAGCCCTATGAATGTAAGGAATGTGGGAAGGCCTTCCGTACATCCTCAGGACGTATTCAGCATTTAAGAACTCATATGGGAGAGAAACCATTTGAATGTGACCAATGTGGGAAGGCCTTTGCTTCTTTGTCAGCACGTATTGCACATTTGAAAACTCACTCTAGAGAGAAGCCCTATGGATGTGAAAAATGTGGAAAAACTTGCTGTTTTCCTCAAGCCTAACTGAACATGTAAAAATTCACAGGAGAGACTAATACTGTCAATGTAAGGAATGTGAGAAAGCCTGAACTCTTGAATCTTTCTGGATTTGTACAAAGGCCCACTGGAGAGAAACCCTGTAAATATAAGGAATGTGGGAAAACACAGTTCCTTTTTATGTTTTTTTTGGAGGAGTTTCACCCTGTTGCCCAGGCTGGAGTGCAGTGGCATGATCTTGGCTCACTGCAGCCTCTGCCTCCCAGATTCAAGTGATTCTCCTGCCTCAGCCTCCCGAGTAGCTGGGATTACAGGCATGCGCCACCACACCTGGCTAATTTGTTTTGTTTTGTTTTGAGACGGAGCCTCAGTTTGTTGCCAGGCTGGAGTATAGTGACTCCATCTCAGCTTACTGCAGCCTCTGCCTCCCGGGTTCAAGCGATTCCCCTGCCCAAGCCTCCCGAGTAGCTGGGGCTACAGTTGTGCACCACCACGCCCAGCTCATTTTTTTGTGTTTTAGTTGAGACGGGGTTTCGCCATGTTGGCCAGGATGGTCTCAATCTCCTGACCTTGTGATCCGCCTACTTCAGCCTCCCAAAGTGCTGGGATTACAGGCATGAGCCACTGTGCCTGGCTCCTAATTTATTATATTTTTGGTAGAGATAGGGTTTCACCCTGTTGGCCAAGCTGGTCTCTAACTCCTGACCTCAAATGATCACCAGCTTCGACCTCCTGAAATGCTGGGATTACAGGTGTGAGCCACTGCACCTGGTCTTCTTATCTTATTGAACATGTAAGAACACCCTGGAGAGAAACCCCTTTTTTTGAGATGAAGTCTTGCTCCATAGCCTAGGCTGGAGTGCAATGATGCAATCTTGGCTCATTGCAACTTCTGCCCCCTGGGTTCAAGTGATTCTCCTACCTCAGCATCCCAAGTAGCTGGGATTACAGGCATGCACCACTACACCTGGCTACTTTTTTGCATTTTTAGTAGAAATGGGGTTTCACCATTTTGGCCAGGGTGGTATCAAACTTCTGACCTCAAGTAATCTGCCTGCCTTGGCCTCCCAAAGTGCTAGGATTACAGGTGTTAGCCACCGCGACTGGCTGAGAAACCTATTTTATGTAAGGAATGAGGAAAATCCTTTTGGAAGTCCATGTGTTTTAATAGTCATATTGTAATTCATACTGGTGAGAAAACTATCAATGTAAGCATTGTGTCAGAAGTGCTCATTTGTCCCTGTTCACTTCAAAGATAGCAAAGAACTTACACTCTGAAGATGCTCCATAAAGTTAAAGGCACCTCGGAGAACCGTTGGAATCTCCTGACAATGCATTATTTAAGAGTTCACCCTGAAGCCGTACAGTGTTAGAAACAAAGCTTTCAATGTTTCCTTGGATTCTTATAATGGGGATAAACCCTTTGGATACAAGATATGTTCAGAAGTATTCTTGCCAAATACTTTGGTGTTCTCCTGCAATTTCACAGTGGAGAAAAACTTCATGAAGGTAATAAATGTTGGAAAGTAATTTTTAAATAATATTCTTCAACCTTTAGTGAATGAGGTGCATTCACACCTATGAGAAACAGCATGTCTGGAATATCAGAATTGCTTTTCTGTTTACTGAAACCTGACAGAGACATGGCTTTCTAGGTGGTTCTATAGAACTAATTTTTTTTTTTAAATCTTTTTTTTTGAGATGAAGTTTTGCTCTTGTTGCCCAGGCTGGAGTGCAATGGTGTGATCTTGGCTTACCACAACCTCTGCCTGCAGAGTTTAAGAGATTCTCCTGCCTCAGCCTCCTGAGTAGCTGGGATTACAGGCATGCCCCACCATGCCTGGCTAATTTTGTATTTTTAGACAGTACCATGTTGGTCAGGCTGGTCTTGAACTTTTGACCTCAGGTGGCCTGCCCGCCTTGGCCTCCCAAAGTGCTGGGATTACAGCTATGAGCCATCGCACCCGGCCTATAGAACTATTTTGAAAGTTTCTCATACCCCTCTACTCATCCCTGGCATGGTATGTCTTTCTCCACACCACTCTAGTCTAGTTGCTACATCCTCTGGGTTACTATTGACCTAAAGTGGGTCTTCAGGATTCAGACAGTCCTAGGTGTAGATTCTCTTTTTGGTTTGTCATGGTCTTAGACATGGTCCACCTGTAGTGGTTCACACTGGCCAAGGTAAAGGGTATGATACAGCTTTACAATGTAAAAACACTCTTGTTCCTCTTTTCACACTTTATCTCAGATAAATGGTCAGGGTTGAAGAAGGGTCTGAGTGGAGAAAGGTTGAAATAACAGAAGTAGCTTAAGATACTGTGATTTAATGGCCATGGAGGGAGACCCATAACCCTTCACCTGGAGAGGTGGGAACTCCTGTAACTATCGGGCAGTGCAGAGAGGTAGTGGGAATCATGAATGTTGTCTTTGATGCCACTGTTTGGCAAAGCAGTCATACATGCCTGACTCAATTACCTGCTATGATTGGCAGTGTGACCCATTTCTGGATTTTCATTTTGTCCATGTGCTATGAAAACAGAACTCCTGTGAACATGGATGGTCATGATATTCTGCTGTGCTTGATACCATCACTGGCACTTCCTGAATGTGGCCCTGGGATACACACACACACACACACACACACACACACACACACACACAAGCTGCATAACCAGGTTCCAGTCTGAGTGGTACAAATTTAAATATTTCTGTTATATCACGTATAGCCATTAAGGCTCTTGTTGCTTGGTGACTCATTCTGTTCTTTTTTTTTTTTTTTGAGATGGAGTTTCGCTCTTGGTACCCAGGCTGGAGTGCGATGGCACAATCTCTGCTCACTGCAACCTCTGCCTCCTGGGTTCAGGCAATTCTCCTGCCTCAGCCTCCTGAGTAGCTGGGATTACAGGCATGCACCACCATGCTCAGCTAATTTTTTGTATTTTTAGTAGAGACGGGGTTTCACCTCCCAGCACTTTGGGAGGCCAAGTTGGGCAGATCACTTGGGCTCAGGAGTTCAAGACCAGCCTGGGCAAATGTCGTGAAACCCCATGTCCACAAAAAAATACAAAGATTAGGCTGGTGTGATGGCACGTGCCTATAATCCTACCTACTCAGGAGGCTGAGGTAGGAGTCTCACTGAGCTCAGGGAGGTCAAGGGTGCAGTGAGCTGTGATCATGCCATTGGACTCCAACCTGGGTGACAGTGAGGCCTTGTCTAAAAAAAAAAAAAAAAAACAAAACTGGGCCGGGCACGGTGGCTCACACCTATAATTTCAGCACTTTGGGAGGCCGAGGCGGGTGGATCACGAGGTCAAGAGATTGAGACCATCCTGCTCAACAAGGTGAAATCCCGTTTCTACTAAAAATACAAAAATTAGCTTGGCATGGTGGTGCGCGCCTGTAGTCCCAGCTGCTTGGGAGGCTGAGGCAGGAAAATTGCTTGAACCAAGGAGGCAGAGGTTGCAGTGAGCCGAGATCCTGCCATTGCACTCCAGTCTGGGTAACAAGAGCAAAACTCTGTCTCAAAAAAAAAAAAAAAAAAAAGAACTGAATCAAGGAGGTCTGTGTGTTTTCATGTTACAGGTTTTCTTACGGAGAGGAATGGGTTTTAGAGTGGTTCTCCTGTGTTATGAGTGTTATTTAGCCCATCTTTGTTGCCTTTAACTGTTGCCCGTGACACCAAAGATGCAGATTAGTCAATTGCCTTGTGTAACTTCTGTCACCTCACAGACTGTCCTTAGATACCATCCTGATTGTCTCAAATAAGACCTAAAGGTTCTCCCTAAACTTCTTCACAGTTGTCTGAGGATGAGCACTTGTAGGTCAGGGATGAGGTCAGTACTGCAGGTTGGCCTCATCCTGGTGCTTGGACTAGTAGTGACGTATCACTAAGAAATGATACCCTAGTTTCATAGCCTAGACATTGCCTAGCTTCAGAAGCTGATTCTGCTTGTCAGTATATAGTTACTTGAGCTGGGCATGGTGGCTCACTTCTGTAATCTCAGCACTTTGGGAGGCTGAGGTGGGTGGATCATGAGGTCAGGAGTTTGAGACCAGCCTGACCAACATGGTGAAACCCATCTCTACTTAAAATACAAAAATTAGTTGGACATGGTGGTGAGCGCCTATAATCCCACCTACTCAGGAGGCTGAGGCAGGAGAATCGCTTGAACCCGGGAGGCGGAGGTTGCAGTGAACCGAGATTGTGCCAGTGCATTCCAGCCTGGGCGACAGAGTAAGACTCTGCCTCAAAATAAATAAGTAAATAAAGTAACGTCATCTTTGTATACTATATTTTACTAGAAGTTTTGTTCAACATTCTGTTTTTTTTCTTTTTTTTTTTTTAGTAGAGAACCCTCCTGGGTTCAGGCAATTTTCCTGCCTCAGCCTCCTGAGTAGCTGGGATTACAGGCACACACCACCATGCCCAGCTAATTTTTTGTATTATTATTTTTCTTTTTTAGTAGAGACGGGGTTTCACCATGTTGACCAGGATGGTCTCGATCTATTGACCTGTGATCTACCCGCCTCGGCCTCCCAAAGTGCTGGGATTACAAGTGTGAGCCACCACGCCTGGCCCCCAACATTGCTTTTTTTTTTTGAGACGGAGTTTCGCTCTTGTTACCCAGGCTGGAGTGCAATGGCGCAATCTCGGCTCACGGCAACCTCCGCCTCCTGGGTTCAGGCAATTCTCCTGCCTCAGCCTCCTGAGTAACTGGGATTACAGGCACGCGCCACCATGCCCAGCTAATTTTTTGTATCTTTAGTTGAGACGGGGTTTCACCATGTTGACCAGGATGGTCTCGATCTGTTGACCTCGTGATCCACCTGCCTCAGCCCCCCAAAGTGCTGGGATTACAGGCTTGAGCCACCGCGCCCGGCCCCAACATTCTTTAACATTCTAGTTTTTTTTTTTTTTTTTTTGAGATGGAGCCTTGCTCTGTTGCCAAGCTGGAGTGCCTGGAGTGCAGTGGCACGATGTCAGCTCACTGCAACCTCTGCCTCCCGGGTTCAAGCAATTCTTCTGGCTCAGCCTCCCAAGTAGCTGGGACTACAGGCACCAGCCGCCACTCCTGGCTAAGTTTTTTGTATTTTTATTAGAGACAGGTTTTGACCATGTTGGCCAGATGGTCTCCATCTCTTGACCTCATGATCCACCTGCCTCGGCCTCCCAAAGTGCTGGGATTACAGCTGTGAGCCACTGCGTCCGGCCAAGATTCTAGTTTTTAATGTATTGTTTGGGGTTTTCCACATAGGCATACATATTACCTGTAACTGACAATTTGATTTTCCCACTTCTCTTCGGTCATTTATGTCTTGTGTAGACAGAAAAGACTAGAACAATAACTAGAAGGTGGCTTGGCGCGGTTGTTCATGGCTGTAATCCCAGCACTTTGGGAGGCCAAGGCGGGCAGATCACGAGGTCATGAGTTCGAGACTAGCCTGGCCAACATGGTGAAACCCTGTTTCTATTAAATATACAAAAATTAGCTGGGCATGGTGGTGCGTGCCTGTAATCCCAGCTACTCAGGAGGCTGAGGCAGGAGAACTGCTGGAACCTGGGAGGCAGAGGTTGCAGTAAGCCTAGGTTGTGCCATTGCATTCCAGCCCAGGGGACAGAGCGAGAGTCTGTCTCTGAAAAATTAAAACCAAAACAAAAACAAACTAAGAGTAGTAAAAGAAGCATACTTTTCTTTCTAATCCTAATGGCAGATGTTTTCCATCTTTAGTAATCACTGTATTGGTTGCTGTAGCATTTTAAAAAGTCAGTTTTTTCTACCTTTCATTGTTTAGGGAGTCTTTCCCATGAATGGCATCAGAATGTATTGAATACTTTCCCTTGATTCCTCTTTGTGATCCTGCTTACTCGGAACATTCAGGTACCTAGAACTGACTGTACCTGCCCTTTATAAATGCCTGCCCTCGATAAATACCTGATATTTAAAAGTGTAAGTAAATAAAAGGATTTTTTTAAAAACATAGAAAGTTAACTGATATTCCAAGGTTATATCATCCTTGTAATTCCGGAAAATGTAATTTTAGTATAATGGGTTAACTTTTTGTTTGCCTGAATGTACCTGTACTGCACATACACCTATAATGTAAAGATTTTTCAAAAACTTATATTGGCACGTAATATTCTTTTCTTAGTCTGTCATTGCCTGTATTTTTGTATGAAGATTGGAGTATTTTCTCGTTTCCTTAACTCGTACAGTACTTTCTTATTACAAGTTTTTTTACATTGTTTTACCAGTCATAATTCATTGGCAGAATCAGGTGAATCTGGATTACTTGTTGCCATTGTTATGGGATATTATTTTTATGTTTTGGAATAAATTTAAAGCATGAATAATTGAATTCAATTATTTTTATATTTTGTAGGCACTAGTAAGGTTTCCAGTTTGATCTTTTTTTCCCCCATGTGGAAATAATATGATACATTTATTAGATATACTAGACAAGAACAGAACTAAGTACTCCAACTCTACTGCAGCATTACCAAAAAATCACCCCTTCACCACAGTGTGAGATTTAAGGACAACCTGCCCAAGGATGCACGTTACATAAAACACAGCAAGATTGCTGTGGACTTCAGTCTCTACCCAGGTCCTACTGAAATACGGGTGGTCCCAATTAGTTTTATTAAATAAATGTTTTTTTTTTTTTTTTTTTTGAGATGGGAGTTTCGCTCTTGTTACCCAGGCTGGAGTGCAATGGCGCGATCTCGGCTCACCGCAACCTCCGCCTCCTGGGTTCAGGCAGTTCTCCTGCCTCAGCCTCCTGAGTAGCTGGGATTACAGGCAGGCGCCACCACACCCAGCTAAGTTTTTGTATTTTTAGCAGAGACGGGGTTTCACCATATTGACAAAGATGGTCTCTATTTCTTGACCTCGTGATCCACCCACCTTGGCCTCCCAAAGTGCTGGGATTACAGGTGTGAGCCACTGCGCCCAGTGGTGAATAAATCTTTAAAGAAAAAGATAACGCATTTAAAAAGACAAGTCACAATGCTTCAGGAACCACATATCCTACACAAACTTTATCCTCAAATGAGTTATGTTTGCCTCACACTAATAAACTTTTATTTCACTCAAATTAGAGCAAAAATCTTCTATGCATTAAATATCTTCCCTGCCCAATAATTCAAAGAAAAAAAATCCAAAATGATTATTAAAGAAAAATTTGTTTTAAATATTTTTAAAGTTAAAAAGTGTTTAAAGGTTGTAATTCCTAGTAGCCAAACATTATCTGAATGGATACCCTAATGGCAAACCACTGTAAAATGCTTCAGCAGCATTTGGGGGAGAGGAGTAGGGATTATCTTCAAAGCACCCCAGCTCTCTTGATGAGAAGGTCAGAGGGACACTGGTTTGTATTATTGTGACATCTATAAGGTGATCTAGGTTGCTTTTCCTTCAGCAAAGGCTCTATTTATCAGAAGGGCATTATGCTTGATCTCCAAATTTGGCTGACAATCTGCTGCTAAGATTCATAACCTTTGGGTCGCTCTGGCATTTTGACATACTTGCTGGGTTCTGAGCCACATCCTGGAAGGCCACCGTAACTTCTGGATCCTGCATGGCTGCAAGAACCTCTGGATCACTCAGAATTTCATTGAGTCCAGGCATTCTGCATTCTGGTCATTCCAGGCATGCCCCCTCCCATTCCAGGCATTCCTTCGGGAAAACCACCAGGCATTCCCCCAGGAAAGCCACCTGGAAAAGAGCCATACTGAGCTCCTGTCGTCTGGCTTCCTCCTCCCTCTGGGCGCTCTCATGCTTTTCTCGAGCCTTCTTAACTTTTTCTATTCTTTTTTTTTTTTTTTTCTTTTGCGGGGGGAGGAAGGCAGGAAGGAAGGGCATAAGGACGGTAGGGTGGAAGGAAGGGATAAAGGAAGGAAGGAAGGGAGGAAGCGGGGAGGGAGGGAGGGAAGGGAAGAAAGGAAATCAAGCAATGAAAGAGACATTGCCGACCTGGATCTAGAGGTTTACAAGTTGATTTCTTTTCTTTTGAGAGAAGGAAAGAAAAAAAAAAAATAAGTAAAGGAGAGGAAGAAAGAGGGAGAGTAAATGGAAATATTGCTTTATTTTGAAAAAAATTGGGTATTAATAATGGCCAATCAATGTTTCATTTAAACTAATGGGTAGGTGTGATGTGGTATTGACAAGAATGTATATTTTGTGTATTTGAAGTGGAGAGCTCTATAAATATTTATTAAGTTTACTTGTTATGGATCTGAGTTCGAGTCCTTGATATCCTTATTAATTTTCTGTCTCATTGAATCTAAGTCTCCTATCTGGGTGTTAGGATCGTTAGCTCTTGTTGTTGCATTGATCCTTTTACCACTGTATCTTTGTTGCTTTAAAATCTATTTTATCCAAAACAAGAATTGCAACTCCTGCTTTTTATTTATTTATTATTTATTTTTGCTCTCCATTTGGTTGGTAAATCTTTCTCCATCCCTTTGTTTTGAGTCTTTGTGTATCCTTGCATGTGAAACAGGTCTGGATGTAACATGCCGTTGGGTTTTGGCTGTGTCTTTTGATTGGGAATTCAGTCAATTTAATTTAGGTTTACTGCCATTTGATGTTGACTGGCTGTTTTATCCATTTGTTGGTGTAATTTCTTCTTTATGTTGGTGCTCTTTACTTTTTGGTGTATTTTTAGAAAGGCTAATACTAGTTGTTTCTTTCTGTGTGTAATGCTTCTTTCAGAAGCTCTTGTAAAGCAGGCCTGGTGGTAATAAAATCTCTGAGTTCTTGCTTGTTCATAAAAGATTTATTTTTCCTTCAGTTGTGAAGCTTAGTTTGGCTGGATATGAAATTCTGGGCTGAAGGTTCTGTTCTTTGAGGATGTTGAATATCGGCCCCCACTCTCTTCTGGCCTGTAGAGTTTCTGCCGAGAGATCTGCTGTAAGTCTGATAGGCTTGCCTTTGTGGGTTATCCGACCTTTCTCTCTGGCTGCCCTTAGTATCCTCTCCTTCGTTTCAACCCTGGTGAATCTAACGATTATGTGCCTTGGGGTTGCTCTTCTTGAGGAATATCTTTGTGGTGTTCTCTGTATTACCTGGGGTTGAATGTTGACCTGCTTTGCTAGTTTAGGAAAATTTTCCTGAATAATATCCTGAAGGGTATTTTCCAGCTTGGATTCATTCTCTCCGTCGCATTCAGGTACACCTATCAAACGTAAATTTGGTCTTTTCACATAGTCCCACATTTCTTGGAGACTTTGCTCATTCCTTTTTATCCTTTTTTCTCTAATCTTTCTTCACGTTTTATTTCATTAAGTTGGACTTTGACCTCTGATATCCCTTCTTCTGCTTGAACAATTCGAGTGTTTAAACCTGTGCATACTTCTCGGAGTTCCTGTATTGTATTCTTCAGTTCCATTAATTCACTCATACTCCTCTCTAAGTTGTCTATTCTCAATAGGATTTCATCAAACCTTTTTTCAAAGTTCCTAGTTTCTTTACGTTGGGCTACAACATGGTTTTTTAACTCACCGAAGTTTGTTATTATCCATTCCTTGAAGAGTGATTCTGTCATCAGGAGGCGCTCATTCTCCATCAAGCCTTGTTCCATTGTTGATGTGGAACTGTGATCATCTTTAGAGGGAGAGGCGTTCTGACTTTGAGTATTCTCAGCTTTTTTACGCTGGTTTCTTCCCGTCATTGTAAATTTATCCTCCTGTCGTCTTTGAAATTACCAACTTTCAGATTAGGTCTCTTGAGTGGACGTCCAGGTTGTTAGTTCCCAGGGCCAGAGCAGCGGCGTTAAAACTGATGGTGCTTTTCCGCCCAGGATTCTCCTGTCTGGCTTCCTTCTTGTGTCCGTAGTAGGTGACTCTGCCTTCCCGGAACTCCAAACCTCGGTCAGAAGGGGAACCCGTCCCGTTTACTCTGCGCCGAGCGCTGCCGCGTCGAGGTGCCGGTGGAACCGCTGCGCCGACCACGAGAGTCGCGCTGGCGACTCGTGTGTTTCCACCACTGGGGTACCTTCTGCTCCGTAAGCGACCAGACTTTGTCTGAAAGTGTGGCGTCCTCTAGTTCTCCGTGCCTTCCCTGAGAGCTGCAATCCCGGGATGTTAGCGATCGGCCATCTTGGATCTTTTCCTCAACTTTTTCTATTCTTTCGTTGATCTCTCGCTCTTCACATTTTCGCTCATCCTTTCTCCGATGTTCTGCAGTTTTCTGTGCCCTAGATTGAACTTCTTTCAGCATTGCACTCGCATCTTCGTCATAATCCCATTTACAGGCAAGGGCAAGATCATGGGCTGCTGCTACCCCGTGGCCTAGAAGTCTGTGCGCTTTCCCTCGCCACTTGTAAGGCTGAGCTGAATCAGGATTTATTTCAGGGGCTCTGTCACAGTCTTGCATGGCAGCATTTGGCTTCTGTAATTTGATGAAGACACAGGCCCTCTTGGCATGCAAAATGGCCAAGCAAGGATTCAGCATGATGGCATCTGTGAATAAGTCAGTGGCTTTCTGCAATTCACCATCATTTAGGGCTTCAATAGCAGCCACTTTCTTACCATTTGCTTGGTCCATCATCTCCTCTGTTATCTCTGCAGTTTCATCTCCCATTTCTTGAGGGATGTCAGTGTCTGGTTCAATCACACCTTTATTATCAATTTCTAGATCACTTTCGTCACTTGATGGTTCGTCTGCCTTTAAGCCTTCCTCTACCTTCTTACTGTCAGGTTTTTCCTCCTTGGTATTTTCTTCTGATTTAGCTTTCTGAGTAGCAGGTGGTATTTTACCCCCCTGTACTCTCCACCCACTCCCTCAGGAAGCACATTTCCTCAGTGTGCGGAACGCTTGGATCTTGTTTACACATCTTCAAAAAGGCCCGAAGCTCGTTCACTTTGCGGGGGTCCATGGTCAGGAGGCGGCAGGTGAAGCTGAGGGTCTGCGGTCTGCTTCCAGGCCTAGGCGCTGGCTTGGCGTAACCACACAGAAGGGGTTCATCTTTTTAAAATATTTATGTTTTCTTTCTTAGTTTCTTCTTAAGTCTATTTCGTCAAGAATTGTTTTTATAGGCTTTTTTGTACTTTAAAATTTATACTCAATGTTTATAATATTTTCTGATATTTTAAGTGTTTGTGGCTTTTGCTGTTACATACCTTTTGCATACTCCTTTTCATTCCTGATACTTTATTTTCTCCTTCATGAAAAACATTAATATTGCTAGAATTTACTTAATCTTGTTAATTTCGCTTAAAAAATTGGGTTTGGTTATTGCAGTACATTTTTGGTTTGTGTTCTGTAGCAGTCAAGTTGTACTGCCATAGCAAATTGTCACAGGATGGTTTCAGTACCAGAAATTAATTTTCTCAGTGTTATGGAGATTGTAAAACTTTTCAGGGTGCCAGCATAGTTGGTTTTTGGTGAGGGCATCTTCTTGGGTTGTGGAGTACTGCCTTCTCATCTCTCATTATGCTGCCCCTCTTTGGCTGACAGATACATCAAGCTCTCTTGTGTCTCTTCTTTATAAAGCACTAATACTATCATGAGAGCCTCATCCTCATGATTGCATCTAACCCTAATTACCTCCAGAATCCTCCATATGCAAATATAAACACCTTAGGAGTTGGGGCACCAAGATATGAAAATTGTAGGGGAAGCAGGGTATGCACAGTTTAGTCCATAGAGTTCTATTTTGTTAATTTTTATTTTTAATTTTTGCTTTCAGCATAGTACATTATTTTTTCTGACTTTTAGGTTCAGGGCATACATGTGCATCTTTGTAACATGGGTAAATTGTGTGTTGCTGAGGTTTGGGATAGGTGAGCCAAGATCATGCCACTGCACTCCAGCCTGGCAACAGAGTGAGACTCCCATCTCAAGGAAAAAAAAAAAAAAAAAAGGTAAATGGGTTTTCCCATTCAAAAATTTCTTTTAGGGTGATGAAAATGTTCTAAAATTATGTTTGAACAACACTGTGAATATACTAAAAAATACTGAACTATATAGCTTTGAGTGAACTGTGTTATATGTGGATTATATCTCAATAAAGGTGGTCTAAAAACCAAAAGGGAAAATCATGATAATAGCTACATCATTGGGAGCATAAAACTTTAATATCAGTCTATTAAGCATTTAGGGTAGTAAGATACAAAAAAACAGTTACCACCAGGTTTGGTGGCTCACACCTGTAATCCCAGCACTTTGGGAGACTGAGGTGGGTGGATCACCTGAGGTCGGGAGTTTGAGACCAGCCTGGTCAACATGGCAAAACCCCATCTCTACTAAAAAACAACACAAAAATTATCTGGGTATGGTGGCGCATGCCTGTAATCCCAGCTACTTGGGAGGCTGAGACAGGAGAATTGGTTGAACCAAAGAGGAGGAGGTTGCAGTTAGCAAAGATTGTGCCACTGTATTTCAGCCTGGGTGACAGAGGAAGACTGTCTCAGACACACACAGCTATTTTTTTTTTTTTAAAGCACGGAATATTAAAATATAAAACCACCGGAATGAAAAGATTATCTTGATATTGGCCTAAGTAGATATATTACTGACATAGAGTCTAGACTCAGATACAGGTATACATAGGAATTTATAGTTTAATAAACATGGAATTTCAAATCAGTAAGTCAAGGACAGTTTATCAATATGTGGTACTACAATAATTGGCCATCTTTCCAGAGGGAAAAAATATTGCATCCACTATTCCACACTACATGCTGAAACACATTCCATGAGCATGAAACATTTAAATTTTTTTTTTTTTTTTTTTTGAGATGGAGTTTCGCTCTTGTTACCCAGGCTGGAGTGCAATGGCGCGATCTCGACTCCCCGCAACCTCCGCCTCCTGGGTTCAGGCAATTCTCCTGCCTCAGCCTCCCGAGTAGCTGGGATTACAGGCACGCGCCACCATGCCCAGCTAATTTTTTGTATTTTTAGTAGAGACGGGGTTTCACCATGTTGACCAGGATGGTCTCGATCTCCTGACCTCGTGATCCACCCACCTTGGCCTCCCAAAGTGCTGGGATTACAGGCTTAAGCCACCGCGCCCGGCCCGGAAGAATAATTTAAAGTGTGCTAGGAACGTCGGAGGAGGCGAGAAGAAAAACTTTTGTGAACATTATGAGCATCCCATGGAGGAGCCCACACCTTTAACCTTGCAGCACCACTGACCCCACCCCAGGTATGGGCCCCGTCCGCAGGCTTGGTTCTGACCTCAGCCATGTGCTGTGAGACCATTTTGGCCTCTATTCCCCAAGCTGAGCCGACTCCAAGGCCTCTCCGTACTCACGGGGGAGTAAACCAGAATTTCTCTGCCTGAGGATGTTTAGCTTGGCGGAGGTTGCAGTCCCCGAGCGCTCCCCTGGGTTTGGGGCTGGAAGCGGAAGTGACGACATCAGCGGAGCGCCTCTGTCTTTTCCGGCGCTTTCTCTGCGTTGCCAAACCAGTTTTCTTTCTGGTGGTCTTCGGACTTAATACAGCTGTGGCGAGGCCGGATAACCTTCAGGAATCAGCGGCGGAAGTGGTGGTGAAAGTAGCAGTTTGGCCCAGGGCGCAGAGGGGTCACTTTAGAGAGGTCTTGCCCGCTCCGCTTGGTCCGCCGGGGCCGCCAGGTCCCAAATGCCACTGGAGCTGTCACTGCGACCGCCCTGGGCCAGGAGCCCTTTCGAGATCTGTCATAAGGGAGCTTCCTCACGATTTTTGCAAACACGGAGATTGCCGCTTCATCTTCCTCCAAATCAATCTTTGTGACTTTGTTTTTTCCTGAAACAACGAATTTTTGCCGTTCGAGTTGATTGTGGTCCTTAGTCCCCGCATCTCCTGGACCTGGCGATTCCGGCGCGTGCTGGTGAGCCCTGGGGTGAAAATTGGTTTCGGGGATTTCTTCCTCCTGTTTTTGCAAACAAACGTTTTATCTAAGAATGTGTTTGCGCATCCTGTATTTATTTTTGACACTCTACTTCAGGTAGAAACATAAAGCTACTTTTAGGTATCTGGGGTGTGCTTATTTATCTGTGATTATAAACGTTATTAAACCGCACGTCTTTCTGCTGAAGAAAAGCAAGCATATTTAGCTCTTCTTTTCATCTGAACTTCCTAGGCCTGTACCTCCCCACAGAGCTTCAAAATGGGCGTATAGGAAGAAAGAATGGGGGCTTTGAAGTAAGTTGAACATTGCAGGTGTGACTGGGAATACCTGTCCTATAAAGACATGTTTTGAAACCATAATACTATGATTTGAACCAAGAAAATGAAAAATGTTGATATGTACCCTGTGTAAAAAGGTACAGTTCTCCACTTTGTACCAGTATATGCTTTTGATTGTTTTGGTGTCTAATATGTACCCAAGTGTTTTGTTTTGTTTTTGAGTCAGAGTCTTGCCCTGTTGCAGTCTGGAGTGCATTGGCGTGAACTCGGCTCACTGCAACCTCCGCCTCCCGGGTTCAAGCGATTCTCCTGCCTCAGCCTCCCAAGTAGTTGGGATTACAGGTGCCAGCCACCACGCCCGGCTAATTTTTTTGTATCTTTTTAGTAGAGACGGGGTTTCATCGTGTTGGCCAGGCTGATGTGGAACTCCTGACCTCGTGATCCACCCGCCTTGGCCTTCCAAAGTGCTGGGATTACAGGTGTGAGCCACCGCGCCCGGTGAATATGTAGCCAAGTATTATATATTGCAGTTGTTCATGTCTTTTAGTCTCTGCGACTTTTTAGTCTCTTTACAACTAGCAGTCGCTGTTTATTCATTATGTTGTCTTTTTTTGCCGAGTCACTCGTGCTTTAAGAAAGTTATACATTTTGGTAGTTCTGATGGTATTCTGTGCTGTGTTTAAATGTATCCTTCATTTCTTGGTATGTCCCATAAATGGATGAGTATCTGAATGGTTGATTAAGGCACAAAAAATTCAACTTAGGGCTGCTCTTAGGGAGGTTGTAAACTACCGGAGGAGGCTCTCATGTAACCAAGCAAATAAGTGTATTACAGAGTGTTGGGGGTCTGTAAGTAAAGTAGAGAACAGAATTATTTTCTCTGTCTTTCTATGGAATAGGCAATGCTAAGACGAGTGATATTCAAGCTGAGAACAAAAATATGGTATGATTTAGCTATGGTGAAGGGGAAGGAAATAAGAGCTGGATAAAGCATTCTGTGAATTGGCTGACTCCATTTCTGGGGTGAGAGAGAGGAGCACATCACACATCAGAAATTACTCCCAGGTTTGACCTAGTCAGTATTCTTTCTTTGGTTGGGGAAATAATGTGATAGGATAATTTAATCTTCAATATATGACTGACAGGAAAAAGCAAGTGATATCTTTTTTTGTTTGTTTGTTTTTGTTTGGAGACAGTTTTGCTGTTGCCCAGGCTCCAGTGCAGTGGAACAATCTCAGCTCACTGTAACCTCTGCCTCTTGGGTTTTCAAGCCATCCTCTTGCCTCAGCCACCCTAGTAGCTGAGATTACAAGCACGTGCCACCACGCCTGGATAATTTTTTTTTTTTTTGTAGCAATGGTTTCACCATGTTGGCCAGGCTGGTTTCAGACTTCTGACCTTAAGTGATCTGCTCACCTCAGCCTCCCAAAGTGCTGGGATTGCAGGTGTGAGCCACTGTGCCCGGCCAAAGTAAGTGATATCTGACAAATGATGTAAATCAAGGGAAAATAGGAGAAGCCTAAGGGATTAATGAGAATCAGTGGCAGAGCATTGAAAAATAAGGTCTCCATGAAAATTAAGTGATGTTAATTATCAGTCTTAGAAAATGTGTATATTAATAAACAGAGAGACAAAACCTCTTTCAGTGTTTTTTTTTTTTTTCTTTTCAGTTCACTTTTGGGCTCCTTCTACCTAAATTAGTCCTTTGCTTCCCTGAAGGTACATCCAGACGAAGAACTCTGTGTGACTCCTTATAGACACTTACCTATCTGGGGGTTGGGTTGATACACTCCATGTAAGTAAATGAGCAGAAAATTCACCTGCCAATATGGGCTGCCAAAAAACTGTGAAGGGGCCATATGGCCTGGAAATACAACAGATCTTAGAATAATGTCTGTTAATTATAATGTCAATGAGGGAAAAAAATCGATTTCCAGGTGGGCCACTGTAGCTTCTGCATGTTCTTCCCATGTCTGCAGGGGTTTTCTCTGGGTACTCCGGTTTCTTCCCACATCCCAGTGATGCATATATTAGCTTAATCGGCGTGTCTAAATTGTCCCACTATGAATGTGTGTATGTGTGAAAGAGTTTGAGAGAGTGCCGCCTACCCTGGAATGGCATCCTGTTCAGGGTTGATTCCCACCTTGTGCCCTGACTGTTAGTAGGTTATTTTCATCCTGCAGCCGGAATAAGCAGATTGGAGAATGAGTGAATCAATACAAAATATTGTAAACTACAAATTCCTAAAACATTTGATGATACAAATATACAACAATAAATGATACCACTTAGCAAGCTTGCCCCATTCATTACTCCTACTTGGTGGTAGGAGGTGGTCCTCACAGGTTTTGCCTTGGAAGCATTCCTTGATTTAACCCATCACTGTTAACTGCCATCACACACTGATTCACCAAACATTGGATAAATATTCTTTTTTGTTTGTTTGAGATGGAGTTTCGCTTGTGCTGCCCAGGCTGGAGTGCAATGGCACGATTTGGGCTCACTGCAACCTCCGCCTCCTGGGTTCAAGTGATTCTCCTGCCTCAGCCTCCCAAGTAGCTGGGATTACAGGAGCCCGCAATGATATCCATCTAATTTTGTATTTTAGTAGAGGCGCGGTTTCCTCCATGTTGGTTGGGCTGGTCTTGAACTCCTGACCTCAGGTGATTCTCTTGTCTCGACCTCCCAAAGTGCTGGGATTACAGGTGTGAGCCACCGCGCCCAGCAATATCCTATTTTTATTAGTCTTTCTTAAATGTATATGTAGCTTACTTTCTTTTCAGTATTTAATATTAGAAGTGTTTGGGGTCAGGCCAGGTGCGGTGGCTTATGCCTATAATCCCAGCACTTTGGGAGGCTGAGGCGGGTGGATCACCAGGTCAAGAGATTGAGACCATCCTGGTCAACAAGGTGAAACCCCATCTCTACTAAAAATACAAAAATTAGCTGGGCATGGTGGTGCACGCCTGTAATCCCAGCTACTCGGGAGGCTGAGGCAGGAGAATTGCTTGAACCCAGAAGGCGGAGGTTGCGGTGAGCCGAGATCGTGCCATTCCACTCCAGTCTGGGTAACAACAGCGAATCTCCTTCTCAAAAAAAAAAAGTGTTTGGGGTCTTTATTTAGAAGTTTGGTGATGTTTTTATGACCAGAAATATGTTGTAGGAACTTAACTCTTATATCAGGCTGGGCGGGGTGGCTCAAGCCTGTAATCCCAGCACTTTGGGAGGCTGAGGCAGGTGGATCACGAGGTCAAGAGATCGAGACCATCCTGGTCAACATGGTGAAACCCCATCTCTACTGAAAATACAAAAAATTAGCTGGGCATGGTGGCGCATGCCTGTAATCCCAGCTACTCAGGAGACTGAGGCAGGAGAATTGCCTGAACCCAGGAGGCGGAGGTTGCGGTGAGCTGAGATGGCGCCATTGCACTCCAGCCTGGGTAACAAGAGTGAAACTCCATCTCAAAAAAAAAAAAAAACTCTCTTATATCAATTAGCGTGTGAAAAATTGGCTTTGTTGCATGTAATTTCTCTTAAAGTCTCAGTTTCCAAGAACCTGTTGATGACTTTAAGTGAAGGCTTAAATTGTATACATTTTCTCTGCCACTTAGGGGTTCCAGTGAGCTAGCTGCACATAGTGAAATCATAGTTGAGAGTTCTGATATTAAGTGTCGGAGGATGTGCATATGCTGCTTTTTGGAGAGTATATTGGAAAACCAATTTCAACAACCGTTGGCACACACTTAATGCCCTACAACAATAGTCATGTGTGCAACATGTGTATCAAGATAAAAGTAGGCCAGGTGCAGTGGCTCACACCTGTAATCCCAACACTTTGGGAGGCCAAGGTGGGTGAATCACTTGAGGTCAGGAGTTCCAAGACCAGCTTGACCAACACGGTGAAATCCCATCTCTACTAAAAAAATACAAAAATTAGCTGGGCATGGTGGCAGGTACCTGTAATTCCAGGTGCTTCAGAGACTTAGGCAGGAGAATTGCTTAAAGCAAGAAGATGGAGGCTGCAGTGAGCCAAGATTGTGCTACTACACTCCAGCCTGGGCAAGCAGAGTGAGATCCTCTCTTAAAAAAAAAAAAAAAATCCAAAAACCCAACTGACGAGACCTCTATTATATCTGCAGTCTCTTCATTTTTGCTTATTCTTCTGTTAGAAACAGGTCAGAAGTCTTTCCTACAGTCAACAGAAGGGTGTTATCCAGGGGCGTGAATCTCTGGAGTCCTATTAGAGTATTTGGCCACAGTGTGGCTGTAACCTGTTGGGTGGTGAAGTTTTCTGGGTTAGTCAGGCTGCAGTTGGTCATACTTCATAGCCAAGATTGAAGTAATATTCCAAGGCAAAGGCTGGCTGCAATGGGTGGGTCAGCCTGTAGGGTGCGTCAGGACACCGCTGTAGCTGTGAGGCTTGCAGTGCTTCCTGTCTGCCCCAGAAGTGCTGTGACAGACACCTCTGGGGCACACTCACATTAATGGTAATGGGCAGCTGTGCAGAGGAAATTTGGATGCCTCTTGGTTTGCAAGGCCTGGGACTTCAGTGTTCACATTTGGAGGCCTTTGGGAACAAACCTCTGGGGGACAGGTGATGCAGCAGCATGCATCCTGGCATGTGAAGTGTCTATGTCATGAGGGACACAAGCCACCAAGCCTGCTGGCACATGTGCAGAGGGTGCCTCTGTTAGTGAGAGTCCTTTGAGCATGTGGCATCCTTGTTAGAAAGGCCATAGGGTGGTGGTGACTGGGCCAGGGTTTTATGGTATCTTAAGACTGTGTTCTGGGCACATGGCATGGACAGAGCACGCTCCACTGCCCTCACACCCACACTGCTGACTGCCATGCCATAGTTGTATCTGGGAAGTGAGCCTCCCTTGTTCAGTGTCTATTCCATGTCCCCATTTTGTATGTTCCTCTAATTCGATCCTATGGTCTGTCATTGGAGAATGGCCATAAATCTAGCCCTGTCCCGACCAAGAGGAGAGATGTTCTGGTGTATTGGGCGGTTTAGATACAGAAAAAGAGGCACACAGCAAGTAGCAGAAGCATTTTATTACTCACAGATCCGTGAGAAGAGGGTTGCCCTTGAGGTCTTGATGGGAAGTCAGGAGACAGCCAGGTGTTAACTAGTGGGTGGGGAATGAGACAGAGAAGACCTGTGGGACTATGCCTTTGTTTTTTTATTTTTTGTCTTGGAGACAGAGTCTCGCTCTTGTTGCCCAGGCTGCAGTGCAATGGCGCCATCTCAGCTCACTGCAACCTCCGCCTCCCAGGTTCAAGTGATTCTCCTGCCTCAGCCTCCCAAGTAGCTGGGATTACAGGCACATGCCACCACGCCTGGCTAATTTTTTGTATTTTTCATAGAGACGGGGTTTCACTATGTTGGCCAGGCTGGTCTCGAACTTCTGACCTCAGGCAATCTACCCATCTTGGCCTCCTAAAGTGCTGGGATTGCAGGCATGGGCCTCCCAAAGTGCTGGGATTACAGGCATGAGCCACCGTACCCGGCAGGGACTGTGCCTTTGTTAAGGTCCATGGGCCTCATCCCTCCAGCTTTCCTAGAGTGGTTGTGGATTGGCTAGACCTGAACAATGGGGAGAACTGATTTACATGACCGGTGTTGGCCAGTAGGTTTCATTATCATCAGCAGCTGTGGGTTGTGTTGGGTTTGGGGTCAGTCAGTAAGGTGAGGAATAAGTAGGCTATGTCACAGACAACACACAGGTAAGGGAAGTTCTAAGTAAGCCAAAGGCGATGGGATCTGACTGGGTTCCTGACATAAATAACTTATGTCAGGCCTAAAAATGGATGTAAGGGCCGGGCGCAGTGGCTCACACCTGTAATCCCAGCACCTTGGGAAGCCGATCATGAGGTCAGGGGATCGAGACCATCCTGGCCATCATGGTTAAACCTTGTCTCTACTAAAAATACGAAAATTCGCGGGTGTAGTGGCACCTGCCTGTAATCCCAGCTACTTGGGAGGCCAAGGCATGAGAATCGCTTGAGACCAGGAGGCAGAGATTGCAGTGAGCTGAGATGATGCCACTGCACTACAGCCTCGTGACAGAGTGAGACTCCATCTCAAAAAAAAAAGAAAAAAAAATGGATGTTGGGCTGTTATGTTGGAGGGTATGAGCTGAGGATTTAGGAAAGTATACGTCAAGGCTGGTGGTGGTGTGTGTAACCAACGGCAGGAGTGGCTGCGGTTGGTAGTGGGAGGGGTAGTAGAAGGCGTCAGGGAACAGGTGGTCCCCTCTGTCAGGTTAAGGAGTTGACTGCCTAGAGGCAGGTGCCTCTTGGGGAAACAGTAATCTCCATTAATTATGGTAACTCCTACCAGATTTTCCTTCAGGTATGGGTGTGTGGGTGTGCAACTATGAGCAGAAAGCAAGTACTCTACCAGGATCTTGGCAAAGCACACAGTTCAGGAAGAAAAAAAGTGTTCTGGGTCCATTTGTGCTTTAGAAGAGGCAGTCCACGGGCATCGCGGTGTGGAGGTTTGAGTGCAGTGGTGAAGTCAGAGTCGTGGGTTGGGGCTGTGTTGCTCGAGGCAATGTCGTTTCCAGCGGTGATATTTTGGGCTAGGACAAAGTCATCTAGGATGTCACTGGGGTATCCTTTTAAAGTGGATACGCACTGAAGTAGATGTGGTCCTCTAGGTTGTACACCAACAAAGCACCCAAACCGGTAACAGTACGATGAACGATGAATAGAATGATATGTAGCTGTACCTGAGAGTGTGTCTTTGTTTCTTTTGGCGGAAGTTTAGGTTCAGATGGGTTCCCTATC